CGCCTCGACCGCGAACGGGAGGACAATCGCCTGCTGCGTGGTCGTTTTGATAAGAAGGGCACCGAGCGCCCCTAGCCGCACGGAAAATGCGGAGAGGGGTGCTAGGGACAGGACAGTCCTCTCCCGCAATCGCGCCCTCGGCGGAGAAAATTCAAACCCCGCTCGAGAAGTCTCTCGCGCGCGCCCCGCAGCCGGCATCGCCACATCCACCCGCCAGGCCGACCCGCGGGTTGACAAGAAGCTGGCGGAGGCCCGCGCGCTCCGCAACCAGCGCCGCGCCGCTGGACTGTGCCTCGGCTGCGGCGAAGCCGGCCATTTCCTCGCCGACTGCACCAAGAAGGAGAGCAGCAAGATGGTGGCCCTCCTGACGGTGCTGGAGGACCTCGAGGCGTCCAGCGACGAGGAGGACGCCGAGGACGCGGAGCCCTCCTCCGCCTCCGAGTCGGACCAGGGAAACGAGTCGCAGGACGAGCACTGATGGCGTGCTCGGTCCTGCAAAACGCCTCGCCATCCTCCTGCATCAAGGACGGCTGCCACCTGTGCTTTCGGGCCAAGGCTGGGCAGCAGCCGGTCTTCGAGATGCCGGCCACCGTTGGAGGCCGGGACGCTCGCCTGCTGGCCGACACCGGCGCCGCGGCCACGTTCGTGTCACGGGCTTTTGTTGACAGGCACGGACTGGTCGAGGAGCCGCTCGGCAAGCCGACGAGCGTCGAGGACGTGCACGGGAACAAGTCGTTGGTCACCACGATGACGACCCAAACCCTGCGCATTGGCGAGGCGAGGCTTGGCAGCCTCCCGCTCCTGGTGGCCGATATCGCTGGTTTCGATGTCGTCCTCGGGTTCCCTATGCTCCAGTCGCTCAGCCCACGTGTCGACTGGAGACAGGGCACTTTGGAATTCACCAAGGGCCTCTCCCGCGGAGAGCGGAGACGCGCCAAGCACAACGGGCGAGAACGGGCCACGCCGAGGAAGAGAGGTCGGCGTAGCCACTCACGCGCGGAGAGGAGTCTTGACGGGCTTCAAGTCTCTCCGCAGCGGAGGAGAGGAGTGAAAGTGCAGGGACACCCCTCTCCGCGCCGCCGATTCGACCGGTACCCCACCGGCACGAGTTCGTCAGCGCTGAACAGCTGGTGCAGGCCGCCAGCCAAGATGGGCCGATTGGCATGATGTGGCTCGACGTTGACTGGCCCACGCTGCGGGCCTGTGGCTTCGTTGAGACGGTGACGGCTCAGAGGAGGAGCCGGAGCCACCCGACATCGCTGGCATTCCAGCAGAGTACCGCGACTTCGCCGACGTCTTCAGCGAGAAGGAGGCGGACCGCCTGCCACCTCACGGCGAACGCGACCTCAAGATCGAGCTCGAGGAGGGTGCCAAGCCGCCTCAAGGGCCCCTGTACCCTAAGGGCCCTCGGGAGCTGCAGGAGCTACGGCGCTACCTCGACGAGATGCTTGGCAAGGGCTTCATCCGCCCGTCGCGCAGCCCAGCGCGGTCGCCCGTCCTCTACGTGCCCAAGAAGGACGGCAGCCTCTGCCTCTGCGTCGACTACCGCGGTCTCAACAAGATCACGGTCAAGAACCGCACGCCGCTGCCCCTCATCGACAAGATGCTTGGCCTGCTTCGCCGCGCAAAGGTCTACACCAAGCTGGACCTGCGCGCGGCGTACAACCTGATCCGCATCGCTGCCGGTGATGAATGGAAGACGGCATTTGGCACTGACTTTGGCCTGTTCGAGTATCTGGTGATGCCTTTTGGCCTTGCCAATGCTCCAGGGCATTTCCAGACAGTGGTCAACACCATCTTCAGGGACATCCTGGGGGTGTACGTCGTCATCTACCTCGATGATTTCTTCATCTTCAGTGATAACCCGGCTGACCACACCAAGCACGTCCGCGAGGTGCTGCGGCGTCTTCGAGAGCATCGCCTGTTCTGCAAGCTCTCCAAGTGCCAGTTCAACACCACCGAGGCGGATTTCCTTGGCTACATTGTCACGCCAACGGGCCTCTCCATGGAAGCGGAGAAGACCAAGGCCATCGCGGAGTGGCCAGAGCCCCGGTCCATCCACGACATCCAGGTCTTCCTAGGCTTTGCGAACTACTACCGCCGCTTCATCCGGCACTACTCTCGCATCGCCTGACCGCTCACAGATTTGGTCAAGCCGGTGCAGCGTTTCCGCAAGTTCGAGCTGCCTGAGGCGGCCAAGACGGCGTTCGCCAACCTCAAGAAGGCGTTTTCCTCGGCGCCCATCCTTCGGCATTTCGACTACGACCTGCCGACGAGGGTGGAGACCGACGCCAGCGACAACGCCATCGCTGGGATCCTGAAGCAGGAGCACGACGGCCTCTGGCACCCCGTTGCTTTCTACTCCAGGAAGATGACAAGCGCCGAGGCCAACTACGAGATCCACGATAAGGAGCTCCTAGCGGTCGTCGCCTCGCTCCGCCACTGGTACCAGTTCCTGGCAGGACTGCCCAGCCGCTTCGGAGTGCTCACCGACCACGATGCGCTCAAGTACTTCGCCACGCAGCGGTGGATCTCGCGGCGCCAAGCTCGATGGGCGCTGCACCTGGCCGACTTCGACTTTGAGATCGTCTACCGGCCCGGCAAGCTTGGCGGCGAGCCAGACGCCCTGACACGCAGGTCGGATATGACTTCTAAGGAGGGGGACGACGCCGACGCCAACTACAGAACGGTCCTGAGCCCCTCGCTCTTCGTGGGAGCCGTTAGCACAAGACGCGCCAAGGCGCGCGCCAGCCTCGACGATGTCCTTCAACTGGCGAGCCGTTCCACGCTCGCTGACC